AACCAAAAACAAAACCAACACAAACTATACTCTCATATATGTTATAAATGTAAACATTTTTTTTTTCAGATGACAATGCCGTACTACATTAGCCATGGGTCGCAATCACTGCAATTGCATTCACTAGATAAGCACTATTTATTATATTGCATCACAAACCAAGTTATCACACTAAGTTTGTATTTTCAACCTTTTGTTATGTATATATTTGTAGATGGCATGGCTTTCGCCAGATAGCACATTTCTAAAAATTGGTATGCTAGGTCTGAACTCCAACATAAACTAAAGATTAGGAAACAAGCACTACTTTCTAAAGTTTTGCTGATAAATTTTTTTAATCAATGTCAGATGATTAAATTTTGCAATATTCAAAGGACACAAGTATTTTTTAAGAACCTATTAAGAATTCTAATTTGGTTTAACGGTTGTGGATGTTTATTTTGATTGTTTTAGTCTTGATTTTTTTTTAATTTTATGAAACACTAAGGATCATCATTCTTCTACAACAGTCTAGCATTTGAATATACTTAATATCCTAAGGAATTTAGAAGCAAAACTGTCACTAATAGTGTACTCTTTCTGACCCAACACCTGGTTCCCATAGTGTGCCAGAGACAGTCTTGTAAATCATTCCTGTCTTTGTACTATATACAGTTCCAATAGAAAAGGAGATTAGGAAATATTTGTTGAGTGGGTGAATAGAAACTCAGTGAAAGCAGGATCATAAAATAACTCATTTTCAAAATCCTAAGCCAGCTACAAAATATCCTTTAGACATGACAAAACATATGAAAGCTGTGAAAGATTCACTGCCTAAATTCAGTAATAAGTGGTCATTACATTTAAATGTGCTAAGTCAAGTTGCAGAAGTTTAAAAAATTACTTTGATTGAATAATGACTATAAAAAATTCCCCCAAATATTTTGTAATGGTTGACACTGGAAAATACATAAACATTGGTTGGATGTTTGAAAAAAGATATTTTTAAAAGGCTCAGACACAAAATATTCAATAGTAACATATATATTTTTATAGAGGTGGCACTGAGGTCCATCCACAAGAGTTACAGGGGTAAGACAGATATAAGTAGTGAAATATACGTAAAGTAGGTCACATAATGAGAACAACCAACACATCACTGTGGTTAGTGGCCTATGCACCCATCTTTGTAACTGACAACATTCAATACTATAATAAATGTTTTGTATTATATCTTGTAGAATAATGAGTAATCAGTACAAAAAAATACATGCAATGGTTTATTAAAAAGACATACTGTAAAAATACAACTGGTATTCCAAAAAAAAAAAAAAAATTAGCTCAGAGCCAGTGAGATTATGAGATTATAATAAAGTCCCCAATTGTTTTGTATGTAATATGGAATAAATAAAATTTTCTTCATTGCCTGTAATGAACATTATTGCAGCTTGATGGCCAAAGCTAAAGATTATCCACCTTTTGGGGCAGCGAAAATTCAGTGTGTAATAACTTGATTCAAAGTAGGAAACATCCAGTTGGTGTAGGAGTGCTGGAGATGTTGGGCAATGGCCATGCACATCATTATGGCACTTCATAAAATGCATTCTCTGCTCCCTTTATAACAGAGTCATTCATACTTCTAATATAGGGCTCAAGAACGCATAGGTCAGGTGACAACTACTATGGAAGATGAGAACTAAATACAAAGGGAACAGCAATGGCTATGTTTTGTTTGTTTGTTTTGAATATACATGTTTTGTCAACTAATGGAGATATCCAAGGCAGCCAGAAAATCTTCACTACTGTGTCAGCTTAGAAACATGAGTAGTCTTTTAAAAGTATTATAGAAGTTCATACATTCCTGCACACTTTCCCCATGGCTGCAAATGAGAAAAGTCCTTCTAGATTATTTGAGTGCTTTGCAGTGACTATGAGTTGATTTTTCTCTTAAGATAATGTTTTAATGATAAAGTTCAATAAAAATAGCACATTTTTTATTCAACCCACATCTCTAAAGCATCCAATTAATGAACTTGGAATATCCTCATCCTTTTTTTTTTTTTTTATTTGTGAATTGAAATTGATATCTGCTGCCTATAGAATTGTGACAAGTGAATGATTTAATGTATGGCAGATATGAGAAGAATGCCTGGAATATTTCAATTTTTTTATTTTTCATTGCTATGATTTCTAATATTGTATTTTTAAATTTCTTATTTTATTTGTTTTGATGTAGGGCTCTGTGTGTGAGTATGTGTGTATATGTGTGTGTGTTTATGTGTGTGTGTGTTTGTGTGTGTGTATGTGTGTACATGCCACTGAAGGCATGTGGAGGTAGAAAAACAATTTGTAAGAGTCAGTTCTGTACTATAAAATATGGATTCTGGGGGTCATTAAACTCAGATGGGTAGCTATCTTGCTGGGCCAATATTATGTATATTGAGTAGATTTTTGCAAACCCCAAACATTTAAATAACTAACTTAAAATTTTTCCTTTTTAAATATCATAGCTATTTGCACTATCATCTAATGTTGATAATTAAGACAAAACTCAAGTTTATATTTTATATTTTTATGAAAAATTATGTGTAATAAGGTGTAATTAATCAAAAATACAGAATGAGTTACTTCTTTTAAAATCATCAAAGCTGAAGTAATCAATGCCTAACCACAAAGCATAAAAACATTTACAGTAATTTTGGGTATTTTATGTACAGGGCTAAAACTCTTAAAAGTGTAGACTTATTTACAGCTAATTTATACCTAATTTCCATGACACAGACTGTAAATGGTCTTTACAAATTTCTTTGCAAACACACTTCTTTTTATTAAGAACATTGTAACATTGTTGTGCATTTTTTCTCTACTAGTAAGAATATAATGTTTTTGTTGTTCTGAATTCTAACACATTTTGTGTGCCATGTAATTAGCCAATGAACTATAAACATAGACAAAATACCACATTTCTTTTAAAAATATCTTATTCAGCATGATTTACTAAGTGAAAACATTTTGGAAGATAATTGTCAAAATCCAGTATAGATTTTGGCTCATGCTATAAAATTCCATAGTTGAATATTTCATTTTACTAAGTCTTCTGCTAGGGAATGATTTTGATCTTTTATGGTTCTTAGTGTCACTGATTTTCTTCCTCTTCATCTCAGAAACCAATAGCTAAAGGGAGACGTGTATTCCACATGAAAGAAAATCCATTGAATAGTATTAGTGAGTTCTGCTAAACTTTACATTCTAAGTGCTGAATGAAATAGTAACAATGTCTTTGGTAACTTCTTCATTGAATATATGGCTCAGGATTATTACATAAAGTGATGAATGAATTTGCCTTAGCACGCACAGCAAATCTCTTTACACTCATACATTTCATGGCATCATAAATCACATTGGAGTATAAATTATATCACTTGTTTGCTAGCGTTCTTTAGAAAGGTATTGTGAAAGACACAGTCCATGTGATTTACACTCACAATGGAAATAAGATTTTAACAGTTCTCCAGGGAGAGTATTAGCAATTTTGGAGTTCCCTTGCTTTTTAACTTAAGAAAACTATTTTTATCCACCTCTGGACAAATACTCTTTTATATTTTAATTTACATTTGAGTTCACACAGGGGTTTCTGCCATATATTTGCAGTAATAAGAGGCACTTTATGTAACTGGACACTTTATGTAACTATGGACTTTAGAAACATAACCTTAAGGAAGTGATTAAGGTTGCATATAATCATATATTAAAAAATAGAGTGTAGCCACATATGGCCACGTGCCTTTTCTATGTCTTGTCAGAGGATACCACTATACTACAGTGGGATTTTTATCAGAAAAGTCTTCATTAGATGAAATCCCTAGGCCTTGTGCATTTAGAACAGTGAGCCATAATAAAACATTTGTTCACCTTTAGAAAGTAGTCTGTTTCAAGTAATTTGTTAGATAGTATATATATATATGTGTGTGTGTGTGTGTGTGTGTGTGTGTGTGTGTGTGTGTGTGTGTATGCCCTTCATAGCAAAAAGAGGAAATGCTATCAAATCTATGGGCATGCATACTCCACCTCAAATCTCTTTCTAATGTTTCTGTGTCTAAAGCAATAATCTTGTAGACCATCATCTTTTCATCCTTTACCCAACACTGTTGTATATAGGACAGGCGGGGGAAGGAAGCTGGTCATTTAAGGCATGTCTTTGGGACCATGATTCTTTCCTGTTGGGACTCTGTTTTGTTTCTTATTTATCACATTACAAGCTGTCTCTCCTGTCTACTATACTCCCTGCTCCACATGCCTCTTATCCTACCCTGATGTTCTTCCCAAGTATTTGGAACCAAGTGCCAGAAAGAAGCCTCTGAAACTGTGAATGAACCCTTCCTCCCTTGAGTGGTCTATGCAAATGCAAAAAAAAAAATTGACATATGATACTACTTTTGTAACAGATTGCTGTATAACCATCTTATTTGTTCATTGTTGTTCCTGTTTGTGCTGTAATGTCAGCCATGCTTGCGCAGAGTTGGCATAAGAATTTGCTCAAGGAAAAAAATGGCTGCATTGAATATAGAACCGCAGAGTCAACTATTTTGGACTCTATGTAATACCTAATCTGACCCTTCCTACCTTTATTTACCTGTTTTTACTTTAATCTTAAGACTCCAGCATAAAGGGAAATGTCTCATCCCATGTCTTCTTTTGTCTGTCTGTCATCATTGTCACAGTATCAGTTCTGCCAACATGGCAAGACTAATTTTAAAAGATTAAATAAAAAAAAAAAATCACTTCAATTGTTTTTCAGTGACAGGTTGCCCTTTCCATAACCAGCTAAAAGGGACAGTTGAATACAAAAATCTGAAAGTTTTGCGTTCATGCCTTAGAGAACACCTTCCTATTCTGTAGTCACAACCTCAAAGTATGTCCCTCATTAAAGGTAGAGGCAAGAAAAGGCTTTAATGCCAAACCACCATTCTGCATTTACACAGGTGGTGACAGAAATGTAATACTCTTTGTTTTCCTTTTAGATCTCCAACTAAAGACATGGATCCCGAAGAGAAGGAAATCGTGGTTTGGGTTTGCCAGGAGGAAAAGATTGTCTGTGGATTAACCAAACACACCACCTCCACCGACGTCATCCAGGCTTTGCTGGAGGAACATGAGGCTACGTTTGGAGAGAAGCGATTTCTGCTGGGCAAGGCCAGCGACTACTGCATCGTGGAGAAGTGGAGGGGCTCGGAGCGGGCCCTTCCTCCGCTGACGAGGATCCTGAAGCTGTGGAAGGCGTGGGGAGATGAACAGGCCAATATGCAGTTTGTTTTGGTTAAAACAGACGCCTTTCTGCCAGTTCCACTGTGGAGAACGGCCGAAACCAAACAAGTGCAAAACAGTGAAAAACCCTGGGAGCTCAGTCCTGCGAATTACATGAAAACTTTGCCACCGGATAAACAAAAACGAATCGTCCGGAAAACCTTCCGGAAACTGGCTAAAATTAAGCAGGACACGGTTTCTCATGATCGGGACAATATGGAGACTTTGGTTCATCTAATTATTTCTCAGGACCACACTATTCACCAGCAAGTCCAAAGGATGAAAGAGTTAGATATGGAAATTGAAAAATGTGAAGCTAAGATCCACTTGGACCGGGTAGGGAACGATGGGGACGATTATGTTCACGCGGCGTATTCAATGCCCAGGCTCAGTGAAAATGAGCAAAAGCTCGACTTCCAACCCGAGGACAGCCAGGCTCTGGTGGACCTGAATGAGAGTGAGGGAATGGCACAGTTGGAAGAACGATTGCAATACTATAGAGTGCTCATCGAAAAGCTCTCGGCTGAAATTGAGAGAGAGGTGAAGAGCTCGGGCTTCGACGGCAGTGAGGATCCAGAGGGGGCAGCTGCAGGTGAAGTAGAAAGCCCGGATTTAGAAAACGTGAAGTGCGATCTGGAGAAAAGTATGAAAGCCGGTTTGAAAATCCACTCTCACTTGAGTGGCATCCAGAAAGAGATTAAACACAGTGACTCATTGCTTCAGATGAAAGCGAGAGAGTACGAACTCCTGGCCAAGGAGTTCAGTTCGCTGCACATTAGCAATAAAGATGGATGCCAGTTAAAAGAAACCAGAGGGAAGGAATCCGAGGCTCCCGGCAGCTGCGCGGAGATCCCTCCATTAACTCAAAGGGTGTTCAACACATACACCAATGACACAGATTCAGACACTGGCATCAGCTCCAACCACAGCCAGGACTCTGAAACAACGCTGGGCGATGTGCTCCTATTGTCAACTTAAGGCAGAGGCCTTCTTTCTGACCATTAGTGACGTTTCGTGTGATGTAACAAGTAACTCTGTTCCATGTATAACTCTGTGAAAACATAAACTGTGCTAAAATATTCAGTAGTTAATAATAATAAAAAAAACTCGTGAACATCATTGTTTGTTTTCATAGAGCGTTTCCAATTTGACTTTCTTACAGGTTCAAGCAATGAACTGTGTATCAGGAATGCAGCAGATCTAGCTGGTGGTTACATAACGCAGAAACAATGTAATGGGGATTGATTAATGATTCCCCCACATGAGACATGAGTGACACGAACTTAAAAACAGTTCCCAACTTTGTTCATCAAACTATCCATACTGCAAGCATCAAGAAGTAGCATGAACATGTTTGTCATTTTTGACAACATTGTATCATGAGAATGTTTAAATCTGATAGTACAGATCCATCCCTACATTTTATGTGTCCAATATGGATCAATTCAAATCTTGTGTTTTCAGTAGTCAGACTGTAAAATGCAGTGTGTGTGTGTGTGTGTGTGTGTGTGTGTGTGTGTGTGTGTGTGTGTGTGTGTCTTCTTCGCTGCTGTCTGCTTAAGTCTAAGGGACAGGAAGCTGTTGGGACATGTATAATTCCTGACAGTCAATCAGTTTGGGCACAGATGAGACAAAGTCAAGTGCTACAATCAGCTTTTTTTTTCCTTCTTCCCCAAGCAGGTCTATGATGATCACCAGCTACACATAAGCTTTTACTATCTGTTCATTAGATTTTCTATCCACCAGTGCTGTGTGCAGGTTCATTATTTGGGGATGAATAGGGTAGGCTACAGAAGATCTCAGCCATAATTTTATTTATGCCCTCTTAACTGTGTACGTTGAAGTGGAATTTACTGTTGTTTGTGTGGATACAGCAGTGTTTTGTTTTCTGGGAACATACAGAGTAGAACTGAATGTTTATTCTCATATACTACAATCCAGCCATCAGGGGACTTCCCGGGTGCTTAAAGCAGCTCAGTACTTTTAAGATGTCCCAAGCACACTAATGGAAATTCAAGAAAAGAATGGATCATCTGGATTCTGTCTTCACTCACATGTAAAATAGTGTTTTCCTTGATTTTAAAATAGACTTTTCCTCTCTCTCCTGCCCATCTGCTAGCTTATTTTTCCTTCACATCTCTCTTCTCTTTCTCCTTTCTCTGCAGTAAAGGCAGGATGCCATCAGAGCCAAAGTAAATAATTTTATTGCTTTGTTGTGAACGGAATGTTGGTGTTCCTTAATTTTCTTTCATTAGCACATTTCACTCATGTCAGGATACATAAAGCAGAAATGTTTGCTCTATTTATAGTATGTAGACATTAGCCATTATTCCTGGAATGTTTGCCTTTTATACAAATGGTGCAACTTTTAACCGTTCTCTCTTTTTAAAGTTTTATAGATTTTTTTCAGCTTTGTTGCAGATTCAATGTCTTTAATTTGCTCCTAAAGTGTCCCATTCCTTGTCCTTTACTTGCTTCACGTATCTTTGGGAAGATACTTGCATTTCAATAGTGTTTCACAGCTGAGAAGCACCTATGTTACCATTAAAAAAAGATATTTTCAGGCCATACAATAGGAATTTCTATTCCATGAAAATACTTGGATAAATAGTAAGTGCTCATGTTGACATAAATTATATTTCTAAAGGAAGATTAGAATAGTCATTTGTAAAAGGGAAGTTCATGTGGCTAACAGGCCATCAGATCACTAAAGCACATGCTAAACTGTTGATGTATTGATTGTTACTAATAAAGATTCAATTCAGAAGATTATCATAAATGATAAGCCATTTGGTACTTTGTTCTCCTAAAATGAAAGTTATCTCTTTGGGTTATGTGTTTAGAAAGAAAATACGTGTTGCACATCTCTGTATGCAATTTGATAGCATTATCTAAAATCAAATACAGGTATGATAATATTAATCACAGTTTCACTATAGGAACTTTGAAATAACTACTGGTTTCACAGTTACTTACAATGATGGTGTATAAGGTGCAATTCTGCATTTTACTGTTAAGAATGTTTAAAACTTCTGTTAGAATCCCAATTTTTTAAACTCATTGTAGAATTTGCATTTTCCTTAATATTTAAAATATATTCGTTTCCTTGGTCATTATATTAAGTCACATAGCAAGTATTTTCCATGGCGAAACTCTAATAGAGTTAAATATGAACATATTTATACAGATAGAAATAATGATCTCATGGATATTATGCTATTTATTGTTTAATTGATGGTTAAGCTTATAAATACAGGACTTGAAAGTTTAATGCTTTAATTATCTTGAGAAACTTAGTGAATTACAAACCCTTAAGTAGCCTGGCAGATTAACCATGAAATGGCCATATGCAGCTAGAAGAGGCAAGCCACAGTTGACAATGCTTGTTTTTCCCAGGACTAGGTTCTCAGAGCATGCCTTATGCATTTCCCGCCCCCACATCTGGTGGCCTCTTTCATTCTCCTCTTCCTATACACCGAACTGCTACCGAGTTCCATTTCTTTCATTTTCTCCTCTTTTTTTCTTTGTGTTTGTTTTGTTTTTCAAGACAGGGTTTCTCTGTGTTGCCTTGGGTGTCCTGGAACTCCCAGTGTAGACTTCAGCCTCCCAAGTGCTGGGATTAAAGACATGCGCCACCACACCCAGCAACTACCTACATTCAGCGTGCTTAAAAAAGTGTTCTCTTCTTTCAAATAATTGTGTCCCATCTTGGCAGTTCTAATTTATTATCTCTGAACTTACAAATATTTTGGATGTACTTCTTTTGGGCTTCTCTTCTACATTGGGCTGTATATATTTATGTAACCATCTCACTCTACTCACCCAGTAGAGTTTTTATCTTACTATTTTATTATCTGCCTTTCCAACTTGATTGGTTATTACCAACTTCTTAGCCTCTTGTTCCATTTGTGAAGTCAGTTGCTGAATGGTAAAGGGCTTTAACATGTTTTATGAATATTTTACATCTACTTACTTGTGCAATTTGTATATAAGCATGCATGTAAGCAGGCTTAAAAATATTAGCATGCATACACCCTATAAATTTAGGGAGTTAATACTAAATCTTTACGTTGCTATGAATTTTATCTATGTGACATCATTTTTAATTAACATAAAAATACATTATTAGGGGGCACTATGTGATATTTCAGTACATATATACATTTGCATAAAGTTTAAGTCAGGAAAAGCATTCATTTTTTTTATTAACAGAGTTTCTAACTTAAAACAACTCATATGCCTTTTAACTTAATGGCAATGTTATAACATCTAAGCATGTGCATTTAAAAGAAAAAATTGCATAGTGTTGGGTTTGAAGTAGTAGACACTCAAGATCTTTTAAATGCCTAATTAAATCTCTGCATCATTTTTCTTCTTAATAGCAAAGTTATAATGCTGTATTATTATATAAAGGCTTTTCTAACCCATTAAAATTTTATTTTTGTATTTATTTAAACTTCTACTGTATATGACAAAATATATTTCTGTGGCTACATTTTATAAATTTTCAGAGTAGAGTTATTGTTATATTTAAGACATATTTTTCTAGTGACAAAGGAACGCAGCTTAATCCCGAGATAGCTTTAAAAGTAACATTAGACTGCTTCTTTTCATACTTCCTTATTGGTTTGATAAACTTCATGTGATAAATATAAAGTTTCATTTCTTTGAGTTATAACTGATCCAGAAAAATAAAAGATTATTGTATCCTGTCTGAAGTATTTTCTTTATTTAAATAGTTATATTTCAAACAAATTGCAATCATTTGTAATTGCATAATTGCTGAGATAAACTAGCTAATACATTTTATTTTCAAATTGGTTGGTATTTCTTGACAAAACAAATGTATAGTAAATAATATCTAAGAAAACTATTTAATAGGTTTCATATGTACTTGTTCCAATTTCTTATGGAAGTATGCCCCAACTTGTATGATGATTTTATGCATGGCTTCTTTCTTTTTAAAGTGAAGTTATTTCACAGAAGAATGTTCACGACTTTGTTGGTTCTTTCTACTAGAATTTATTTTGTCATTGCCTTCCTCAAAGTAAGCATTCAGTATTAACTTTTAAATAACTCATCACTGAAGTCATAAGAACCACTAACTCATTCTATAATCACCACCAAAATCTTTATTAAAAGATTGTATACAACATCCAGCACAGCATATAGGAATAAGTTTACACTACTTTCTTCTCCTATTTGTCACCATGGTTAGAGAAGAGGGACAGTATTTTTTAAGCAGAATTTGTGCTTTTAATAACTGTTGAAATTGAGAACTGAAAATTTTAATGCTATTATTATGAATAGATTTATATCTGAAAATCTCTGATTATCTTTGTAATTCAAGGTAGCAATTTACATGTTTTTCTGAAGCAGACATGGAAGATGCTTTTATAGGGGACTATTTAGATACTACACTTCATACACATGTATAATATAATTGGATATTTACCATTTGGTAAGGTAGATACATTGTATAAAGCTCACTATGATATCTCATTTCTATTGCTGTGGGCCCACTGCACACATGAGTTCATTCTGACATTAAAGACATCATCTGTGATTTATGAATTGTTCTAGAAACAACATATAAATAAATAAGTGTAAATTTAGTTACATAGTCAGGCATAGGTAACCTAACATACGCAGAAGAGTTAGATGATCTCTTAATTCACCATCATACATACATTCTCCTCATTTAGAGATGTGGCTACTCTGGAAATGTCCTGCATTGTTCATATGGTGGTCTTTCCTCCGATCTCACTATACTACAATATTCTAACAACACATCAATTCCACAATCAATCACATTGGTCCACTTCTGATGAGCATTTGGATGATTATTTACTATGTTTCCAATTATTTACTATGTTATTATAATATCCTTCCAAAAATTCCTATGAGGCAAGATGTAGAAACATTGGCTCAAATGGTGCCAGATGTGTTTTCAATTTTAAGAACGCCTATAATTCACGTATGCAGAAATTAATCTTTTATTGTCTGAATTGGAAATTTGCTAATGATAGACAATGTTATTTTCTATTTGTACATTTAAACTGCAAAGCAAATAAACAAATTATGGTAGTGGAGTTGATCTTCCTGGTTACTATTTAATGATGTGCTTTCTGGCCATTCTTTAAAGGGCTGCAACTAAAATACTTTTCAGTTGATATGATCAAATTCCTTACAAAAAGGAGGGTTTATTTGAGCTTATGGTTCCAGAGTGATAAGAATCAGCTATGGCAGGGAATGGTGGCAGTGTGCAGGAGTCATGGCAACAGAAACACCTGAGAGCTCCATTTGCAAACCACAAACAGGAAGCAGAGAAATGTCACGGGGCTTTTTTTTTTTTTTTTCTTTCATTTCTCCAGTCCCAAGGGTTCTTTTTTTATTAACATTTTTTTCATTTTTCTTTATTAAGAAATTTTCTACTCACTCTACATACCACCCACAGATCCACCCTCCACCCTCCTCCCACCCCCCAGCCCTCCCTCCCAAGCCACCCCACATCCCTACATCTCCCAAATCAAGGACTCCCATGGGGGAGGGGGTTCAGCAGAGCCAGGCACACTGAGCCTAGGCAGGTCCAAGCCCCTCCCCACTGCACCAAGGCTGCTCAAGGCGTCACACCACAGGCACCAGGCTCCCAAAAGCCTGCCCATGCACCAGGGAGGGATCCCAGTCCCCCTGCCTGGATGATTCCCAAACAGTTCGAGCCAAACAACAGTCTTCCATATCCAGAGGAACTAGTCCAGTCCCATGGGGGCTCCACAGCCACTAGTCTACAGCTCATGGGCTTCCACTAGTGTGGCCGGTCATCTCTGCATGTTTTCCCATCTTCCCATCATGATCTCGATGTCCCTCTCCTGCAGACTCCCTCCTCTCTCTCATTGATTGGATTCCAGCAGCTCAGCCTGACCCCACCTTGGAGTGCTGGCAGCGGTCTAGAGGGTGCCTGGACTGGTCTACTCTCGTGACCAGTCTAGTGAATATCCTAACCGTCATCAGCACTGGGCTTTTAAACTCCAAAGTTCACCGCCCCCCCCGCCCCCCACCGTGATGTTCTTCCTCTAGCTATATCTCTTAAACCTACTCTACCGGCACCAGCAACATCTAGCCCAATGGGGGCACGTTCTTGTTCAAACCTCTACAAACTATCATGCCATGTTGCATGATTAATAACTTTAAAAAATAGCTTCTACCTTTTTTACATACACATTCATGTTTTAGTTTTAAACCTTGGAGCAAGCTAGCATTGCAGGTTTTTTAGTTGTTGAAAATACTGAAACAACTGATTTTGTTTAGATGTCTGGAAATTATTTCACAATATTTGGCACATTTTTGTCCCACTGTTATAGAGTGACATCTATTATTGGTTGTGTGTGCACCAGATTATGATCTATATGGTAGATCTACCGCTGACTTTTCTATATCATTTTCTTGCTTTGGCTGAACTGTGTGTTCATATTATTGTACTACATTATCTTGTTCATACCTTTAGGATGCTTTTAATATTTTGTGTATTAATATGATTTATATATGCCTATTATGTTTTACAAGACATTTCTGTTGACCTTTTTTATTTTTGCAATGTGTTCACTATGTTTCAAGCTATATGGAGTATTATATTCATGTTTTAAATTTGAATCATGCCAAATTTATAACTAAACATGAGGGATGTTGAATTCTTTGACACTAAGACTTATTATCTGAGAACTCTGTGTTCTTTATTATTTAAAAGTTTTATTCTGTCTCACCACACGAAGTATTAAACTTATTACTGAATGTTTCCCCTTCCCTGTTACAAATTAGTCTCTTCCCATTAGATTATTTAGCTAGAAGTTGTCCTTGTGCACTTTGTGTAGCAATTCTTTACTGATGTCATGTGTTAAGTTTACACTCAATTATATTTTATCCATTGAGCTCATCATAAACTTGTCTAGTCTTCTACTCTCTTTTTTCCCCTCTGATGCCATTTCATGTCAGAAAAAGTAATCCATAAAAAATAAAAAATGCTTTATAATTTCAACTCTTCTCTGAAAAGAAATTTCTGAAAAAAAAACAACAAAATAAAAAATAAAACATAGGAATGCAAAGAAATCTGGTATTTGTACTCATTTGTGGAGAATAAAGTCCATGAAGTATGAATATCAAGATATGTATTCTTCACATCATAAGCTATAAGATGATTGACAATTATCATTTCCTAATTGATCAATATATAGTGTTTACAACCTTCAGTATGAATGCTTGTATTAGCAACAATGTTTGCCCTACATTACTTCTTTTTAATAGTACTATTGGCACTTATTTAGGGAAGTTTTTATTATAATAGTCTTTCATTACTTATAGAATATTTTAAACCCCTGAGCCACTGGTGTTTAATACAGATAGTGTCCCTGTTCCCATAAATTGGGACAAGTAAAAAATGCTCTTTCCAAAGTCCATTTCTTAGCTCTTATATTATCATTCACTAGAAACTTACATTGCCTCCTTTCAAACAACGAAACAATATAGTAGCTTACTACTAAAAGAAATTAGTACTTGTATTCTGAAAATAAAAGTATAAGAAAATTTGAAAACAAAGTTTTCAAATCAAATATTGAATTAGGATGAGTAGGGTGTAGCTAGAGTTTTCATGTCTTGCCCACAGTCAGGTCAAATCTCTGTCACATGCCAGTCCCACAGCCCTCAGACCCAACCAAGTAAACACAAAGACTTATATTGCTTACAAACTGTATGGCCATGGTAGGCTTCTTGCTAACTGTTCTTATAGCTTAAATTAATCAATTTCCATAAATCTATACTTTGCCACGTGGCTCATGGCTTACTGGTGTCTTCACATGCTGCTTGTCATGGCGGCAGCAGGCAGTGACTCACTCTGCCTTTCTGTTTTCTCTGTTTTCCTCTTTGTTAGTCCCGCCTATACTTCCTGCATGGCCACTGGCCAATCAGTGTTTCATTTATTGACCAATCAGAGCAATTTGACATACAAACCATCCCACAGCAGTAGGGCATTCAATTTAATGTGAGTCAAATCATGATAGGCAAGCTCTATATCAACTAATGGGGTTATGACATAAAAATAACAGATTTTGGTGTTCATTTCAATTTTGAAGCAGAGTCTTGCTATGTAACCAATGCTGTATGACAAATCTCATGATCCTTTTGCCTCAGGCTCTTGAGTTCTGGGATAAGGTTAAATTAGAACCTTGAGGCAGAAGTATTGTGTGCTATAATATGTTATATGACATTATAATATATTTGTGAATATGAATAAATATATAAAATATATCTGTGGTTGATATATTGTGCACCCCAATAAACTTATCTGGGGGTCAGAGAACAGAACAGACACTATATTAAACAGGTTTACGCAGTGTTAGCACACACCTTTAATCCTAGCATTCAGGAGGCAGAGATCTGCCTGGATCTCTGTGAGTTCAAGGACACACTGGAAACAGCCAGGTATTGTGACACTCATCTTTAATCCCAGGACGTGATGGCAGGAAGCAGAAAGGTATATAAGGCATGAGGACCAGGAACTAGAGTCTCATTAAGCTTTTGGCTTTTAGCAGCTGTTCAGCTGAGATCCACTCGAATGAGGACAGAGAGGCTTCCAGTTTGAGAAAACAGGATCAGCTGAAGAACTGGCGAGGTGAGGTTATCTGTGGCTTGTACTGTTTCTCTGATTTTTCAGCGTTCACCC